CCAGAAATCACCTCCCAGGGGGGATGGTCACGCCGCAATCCCTTCTCCTCCATTCTCCTCTCAGGATCTTGGGCACACATGCACATGCGCCCGGTGTGAGTTTTAAGCCACCGGGTCCGGGACGTGAACCGCGGTCGATTATGTGGGAGTCCAGCGACATAGCCATTACACTAACTACTGGTTCCCTAGTATCTGATTTTTCATCATGGTGAAGGAGAAGCCATAATATGCTCAAGTAGTATCTTTACAGTGCTAAAAGAAGAAAAAAGAATCCATCAATCCAGACTCATATAACTTGTGAAAGTAAAGGTCAAATAAAGACTTTAAAAAATAAATAAATAAAATAAAGATATCTTCAGATAAACCACATCTAAGATATTTTATGGTCTGCAGACCACAAGAAATGCTTCTTCAGGGGCGGGGGGCAGGAAATGTTATCAGATGATGTGCATATCTACAGAAAAGAACAGAGATCTTGATCATCCATTTTTTTGTCTGTTTTTGTTTTTTCTTTTAAGTTCCTGCCATAGGGTGTGTGCACTCACCAGAGATACAGAGAGAGATAGTGAGAGGGAAAGTAAGAAATCACCCTTCCAGGAAGGATGACCACACCACAATCCTCCTGGGATTTGAGGGACATAAAAAAATGCACCTGGCATAATTTTCAAGTCACCAGTTCTGGGACTTGAACCATGGTCAGCCATGTGGGAGTCCAGTACTTTAACTACCATGCCACCTGATGGCCCCATGTCTATTTTTTAGAGACATTTTTGCTATGGGACACATGTGCTCGCCACAGAGACAGAGACAGAAACTGAGAAATCACCCCCAGAGGGATGGCATGCTGCAATCCCTTCTCCACTCTCCACTCAGAATTTTGTGCACATACACACACACCCAGTATGAGTTTCAGGCCTTTGGGTCCCGGACTCTAGCCACAGTCGGCTATATGCAGTGGCCATGCAACCTGTGCAGCAGCCATGCAACCTGTGCAGCGACATAACCAATATGCCATCCGCTGGTCTCTGTTTTTGTTTTTAAATAAAGGTAAGAGGAATTGGGAATGATGCAGAAAGGGGACACTTGTGGTATTTAAATACGGTGGTGAGAGAAGAGCTCATTAAGAAAGCAACATTGTGCAAAGGTTTGAAGGACGTAAGAACGCGAGGGCGTGCATACCTGGAGAAAGAGCGTTTTAGGCAGAGGCAGCAGCCTGCACACGGCCCGGCCCGGAGGCAGGACACCGTAAGGAGGTCCTTGTGTCTGGGCAGAGTGGGCGACTGGGAGAAGCTGGGAGTGAGGGCAGAGAGAGAAGGGGAACAGCTTGTGCGAGACCTGTGGTCACAGTGGGGACTCGCTCGCCCTTTACTGTGAGTGAGATGGGAGCCCCAGGACACTCTTGAGCAAAGGGACAATTTCCGACTTAGGTTTCTAGGTGGGGATGAGACTGAAGGGAGCCAGGATGGAAGCAGAAGGCTAAGGAGGCTGCTGCAATGACCCACGTGAGCAATGATGTCGGCTGGGACAGAGTGATGGCAGAGGCGCGGTTCTGGGGTGAAGACGGAGCTGACCAGATTTGCTGATGGGCTGCGTGTGCAGAGTGCGAGGGAGGGCAGAGTCGGGGTGGCCGCCGGCAGAGCTCTGAACAGCTGAAGTCGGAGTGGCTGTCCACCACCCTGGGGGAGATGGCGGGGCACAGGCAGCCTGTGGCCGCGTTGAGCCTGAGGTGCCTGTTGGACCCAGGCGGTTGGAGTGTCCCTCTGACAGAGCTATGTGGGAGTCATTCAAGTCCGAATGCCACTTACAGAGCGCAGGGGGCGCCATCTGTGCTGGAGAAAGCGCATTGGCTTGGATGTCAGAGGTCTTAGGCTGACCTGACCTTGCAGGTGGGAGGCTGCATGGCCCCGGGCAAGGACGGCCTCTCTGAACCTCTCTGAGCCTCCGTGCCCTCTGAGGTCGGGGTGCAGAATCCTTGACCTTGCTCCACCCTCCTCATGCCTCACATTCTGAGGCATGGCAGTCACAATGTCCTGCTGATCTTGCCTCTGAAAAGTTTCTTTTTAAAAAAACAATTATTTAATTAATTAATGAATTAATTATTGAGAGATTTTTGCTTTAGGGAGTATGCACTTGCTGGAGAGACAGAGAGAGAAGAAAGCAAGAAATCTCAGGTCTGGACTCAAATCAGAGTCAACTACCGTGGGAGTCCAGCAATGTAACCATTACGCCACCTGCTGGTCCCATTATTATTATTATTATTATTTAATTTGCTATAGGGCATGTGCATTCACTAGAGAGAGAGAGAAAAACAAAGTGAGAAAGGGACCAGCAGTTAGTGTAACGGTTATATCGCTGAACGCCCACGTAACCAACCGCGGTTCGAGTCCCGGACCTGGTGGCTTAAACTCACGCCAGGCACGTGTGCATGCGTGTCCAAGATCCCATGGAGGAGAAGGGATTGCAGCGTGGCCATCCCCCCTGGGGGGTGATTTCTCGCTTTCTGTCTCTATGTCTCTCTCTCTCAGTCTGGTGAGGGTATCCTCAGGGGGGATGGCCATGCTGCAATCCCTTCTCCTCCATGGGATCTTGGACACGCATGCACACGTGCCTGGCGTGAGTTTAAGCCACCAGGTCCGGGACTCGAACCGCGGTTGGTTACGTGGGCGTTCAGCGATATAACCGTTACACTAACTGCTGGTCCCTTTTAAAAAATTTGTAAGGTCAAGATTTTTCTTGGCTCTGAAATCCTCCTTTGTCTTGGTAATAACCCCCTCTCTTCTCCCCTCCCATCTAGACAAACAGAAAGGGCAGGTCAGAAGGAGACTGAGTCCGGACGAGAGCTGAGATCTAGTGAGTTTGCACTGTGTGGTTTTCATTTTTTGGTTTTTTTTAATTAACAAATAAATAATTTCTGTGTTTGTTTGCTTTTTTCTCTTTTCTCTCTCTCTCCTTCTCTGTTTCCCTACCCTTTTTCTTGTACCTCATCACTTTGCTGCTCAGCCTCCGAGCACTGAGTGCCTAGACAGGTCTAAGGGAACAGTAGCCAGAATCTGAATACTATTTGGGTCCTCATATTCATCACCTCCCACTGAATCTGTGACACAAAGGGAGAAAAACGCAACGCCAAGGAGTTTGCAGACCACCTCCTTCTGACCGCTCAGGTTGATCTAGAAATTAGGAAGAAACGAATAACCCAGCAGATGGTTAGAAATTACTGCAGGGGCACAAGAAATATGTGAAACCAAGAAAATACGTCTCCCCCAAGGGAAAAAATAACTCCTCTTCATCCACAGATAGTACAATGGAACTCGGGAAACGTCTGATAAAGAATTTAGAGTATTCATAGCGACAAAGCTAACAGAGATGGAAGAGAAGAAACACCAGAACACCAGAAGAAAAAAGCCAACGAGTTCCAGGAGGTGAGGAAGTTCTTGCGAGAGCTGAAAGAGGAAATGCACACCATAAAAAAGAATCAAACGGAGTTGTTGAAGATGAAGGCTGTAATACAGGATGTCAAAACCTGCCTTGAAAGTATTAAAAGCAGACTAAATCATGCAGAAAATCAAATCTCAGATGTAGAAGACAGGATTGTTGGACAAGTAAAATCCACCACAAAGACTGAGAAAATAGCCCAGAAAAATGAGAATACTATACTACAAATACTAGATACCATTAAACGTCCAAACATCTGGATAATTGGTATCCCAGAAGGTGAAGAGACTAATAAGAGCATTGACAGGGACCAGTAGTTAGCATAATGGCTATGTCACTGGATTCCCACGTAGTCGACAGCAGTTCAAGTCCAGGACCCCATGGCTTAAACTCACGCCGGGCGTGTGTGCGTGCATGCCCAAGATCCCGAGAGGAGAATGGAGGAGAAGGGATTGCGGCATGGCCATCCCTCCTGGGGGGTGATTTCTTGCTTTCTATCTCTCTGTCTCTCTCTGTCTTTCTGGCGAGTGCACGTGCCCTATAGAAAAAAAAAAATGTATTGACAACATTGACAATCTATTCTGTGAAATCCTGGAAGAGAACACCCCAAACCTAGAGAGGCATTCAGAGATCCAGACCCAAGAAATACAAAGGATCCCACATAGGGTCAACTCAAGATCTTCTCCAAAACACATTATAGCCAGAATGACCAAAACCACAGACAGAGACGACATAGACTGGCAAGAGAGAAACGTCAAGTTACCTACAAAGGATATCCCATGAGGCTGACAGCGGATCTCCCAGCAGAAACAATCCGAGCAAGGAAAGAATGGGAAAATGTATTCAAAGTGTGGGTGAAAAACAATAAATATGATATCCAGCAAGATTATCCTTCATATGGGAAGAGAAGACAAGAACATTCTCAGATAAACAAAAAGCTGAAAGAATTTACTAACACCAGAGCAGCTCTCCAAGCAGTTCTGAAGGGAGTGCTATCCCAGGAAAACTAAAGTCAGACACTCAGAAATAAGAGTTCTAAAACAACTAAGAAAATGGGCAGCTTAATGGTAGGGACGAGTCCAGAGTTGAACACTATCTTCCAGAATTTAAATGGAAAGATTGGACCCCAACAGAAGATAAAGTACATGAGTTTAAACCAGTGAAATAGAATGTTTAGGACTTTTGACTAAAGCATTACTGATCTTCTACACTTTGCTTTGCAGTGTTAAAGAGTTTCGTCTTCTCTCGAGTTGTGGACAGGTCCACGTATCTACAATTCGAACAGAATCCTAACCTGTTTCTTGGCTTTAAGTATTAAGCAAATTTCTCTTAACATTTTTTATTTTGATTTATTAAAGCTAACACTATCTTTCTTGAAATTAAAAAATGTATTTAAAAAATACCTATTAAGTGACTGCAGTAAGCTATATAGCCCCAGCTATGTGCTGTTTTATGATATATTCACTCTACCCACAGAGTTTCATGCCTAAAGTCAACTTTTGTTCACAGATATGTACATATAAGCTGAACTTACTATTGAAATATTTAAATTAGTTAAGATATTTTGTGAATCAATACAATGTGGGAAAGAATAAAGGAATGGAAAGCAACTGCAGATACCAGAGAAAGGGTGGGAGGAGGATGGGAAATGGCAGAGAGTGAAAAATAGGGGGAAAAATATATATCCAAGAAACAAGAAATGGAAAATTATTTGTTGATGATAACATGTATGATTAAGCCACTTTGCAGTGTATCCTGGGGAAAATCACAATTTGTATGCTGTGGTGATGTTCAGTAAAAGTATGTAAAATAAATAAAGTAGTTTTTAAAATCCACATTAGGGAACCAGCAGTTAGCGTAATAGCTATGTTGCTGGACTCCCACATAGTCGATCGTGGTTTGCATCCCGGACCCGGTGGCTTAAACTCACACCGGGCGCGTGTGCGTGCGTGCCCAAGATCCCAAGAGGAGAATGGAGGAGAAGGGATTGCAGCGTGACCATCCCCCCTGGGGGGTGATTTCTCGCTTTCTGTCTCTATGTCTCTCTCTGTCTGTCTGGCAAGCGCACGCGCCCTATAACAAAAACCTCTCAAAAAAAAAAATCTACATTAAACGTGTGTGTGTGTCTCTCTCTTGGGATCAATCTGAGTTTTTTTGGCGCAGCTGGTGAGCCATGCATGGGGACCTCCTGCCGACCTCTCCAGACCCTTCTCACGCCTCACTCCGCGTCTTGCCGATGCTGGCTTCCCTCCCTGTCTCTGCCCGCGACACGCTCCTCGCTCTCTCCAACCCAGGGCCTGTGCATGTGCGTCTCTCTTTGCTTGGTACACCCATCCTTCTCTCTGCTTTTTAATAAATAAATAAATAAATAAATAAATAAATAAATAAATAAAATTTGTACTCAAAATGTCAGTGCAAATTTCTCTTTCTCCCCCAAACCTTTCCCTCACCACCTTGACTAAAGCAGACCCTCCTCTAGGGACTTTTCTCCAGGACAGATTGTGACAGCGAGCAGCAATCGGGCCCATCTCCCCACTAACCTCGAAGATCCATAGAGGCGAGGCCGGCTGTGGCTCACGCATCAGCCCCTAGCACAGAGGAGGCCTCTGTTTATTGACAGTTGATAAGTGATTGAATAAGGAAGGCAATCCGTCCTTTGCCATCTGGAGGACGGATTCATTCCTCCCATCTAAAACTGCGCATCGAGCCAGTACTGTGTGTCAGACACTGTCCTAAGTACTGGCCGACCATGGTTCAAGTCCTGGACCTGGTGGTTTGCTTTCTCACTGTCCCTCTCTCTCTCTCTGTCACTCTCTGATCAAATTAAAGTAAATGAATGAATAAATAAAATAAAATAAAAAGATTTCAAACACTTTTGCGCTACAGTAACCTCGTACTTTAATTCCATTTTCCATGGACTTTTTTTTTTTTTTTTGGAGAGATTTTCACTGTAGGGCGCATGCGCTCGCCAGACAGACAGAGACATAGAGACAGAAAGCGAGAAATCACCCCCCAGGGGGGATGGTCACGCCGCAATCCCTTCTCCTCCATTCTCCTCTCGGGATCTTGGGCACGCACGCACACGCGCCCGGCGTGAGTTTTAAGCCACCGGGTCTGGGACGCAAACCACGGTCGACTACGTGGGAGTCCAGCGACATAGCCATTATGCTAACTGCTGGTTCCCTCCATGGACTTTTTGATGTCTGCTCCTATAGTCAGTCATTGTTGTTTGTGGCTTCTGCACCAAAAATTCAACTAACTGAAACAAAAATACTCAAATAAATAAATAAGTAAATAGTAACAAACAGTTAAAAAAATAATCATACACTAAAAAAATCAATCTAGGGGCCGGCAGGTGGCATGGTGGTTAAAGGCGCTGGACTCCCACATGG